AAACAATATTGCGAGAAAAAAAAAATTGTTACTTCAATCAAAGCTGTGTATTTATCTGTGTGCTAGCAACACATTGGTCATGGTATGCAAAGTTAACATTATTTTCAAGGCTCAAACGTTGTGCTTGCTTTACCCTATATTGCTCCGTAGATAGTGATTAAGTTTGTCATACGTCGTCACTAAGATATTCGAGACAGATCTCTGAATTTGAGCAGAAATTCTACCAACTGCTCTGAAAGTATCAATACACTTTATACATTCTATTTCGTTCAATTCATTTAGTACTACACATATGAGAAATAGCTAATGCTGTGGACGGTAGAAGTGCAGGTAATAGTAACTTACCCTGTCTATTGGATTCTTGCTAGAAGAGTCCATTAGGTTTTTTCGAGTATCTTTAGATCACCATAGATATCTGTTAACAATATTAGGAATATATTAAGAATATTTGAAGGTTACACGCCGCCTAATAAAAGTGGTAGTACCGTACCATATGCTGGTGTACGTTATCGATTATAATTAAATAAAAGTTACCGCTTTTGCTAAGTTGTCAATAGTAGATAAAATTGTATCAAAACAGCACATAATAATAATATTCTATCGTTTCAGTCAGAACTACGATCTGAACTACTACTGAATAAATTGTATTCTAAAAAAAAAAAAAAATGCACTTGTATACGCTATCAGATGTAACATACTGTCTATCGATGACCTGTTTTTATTTGCGTTGTAAAAATCAAAATCAGTGACTTTTTAAAAAATCTTTCATAAAAATGTAAGTATAATTTTTACGATGATGTTTGCTGTTTTAGCAAGCGTCAGACGACGAATAAAGACGATTCTATAGACCGGTGTTAGTAAGATGAATGCAGGTGGGATATGTTATACTCGATTCCCATATATATATATATGGGAAAAGGAAAACATTAAAATAATTGTTTCTGCTCGATAAGTAGAAACATGCCGAAGTTGAAAAGTCAATGTAATTTTTCTGCCGAAAACAAACTAACGTTATTTCTACCCATACGTTATTAGGAGTATTAAAGTAAGAGTGTTGCTATCTTAGTAGCGATTCATGTACTATGTTAGTGTAGAATCCAAGGCATGAAGGTCAATACAAGTATATTGTGCAAATGTCGTTTTCACATCGTCTCGTTCTTCATGGAAATACATATAGGGAAAGCTTAATTGGCTAGTTTTAAAAAGAAAATTCTAGATAAACAGAAACAGGTCATATGAACATCTACAGTGAGACTGCAATTATCCATTAGCGTTGACTCTGTTCGAGCCTAGGTGCCTTTGCTGACCTGTATTTGAAAGGAGACGGCAAATCACACCGAAACGTTTTACTTCTGGAAACGAAAAAAAATTGGCAGAGTCTGCCTATGTAGGATATAATAAGTGTGTAAGTAGTGTATGTAGTACTTCAAAAGCAGGGTACATTCTTCGAAAAAGGAGCCATTGAGCTCCGAAACCAGTAGCAAAGCACATAGTTTGCAACGACCTCTACGACACCCGTAATAACCAAAGTTCACGTCCTTGGTTAGAGCATTCTCGATGCGGCAAGCGAAACTGGCCAAGTTCATATGTAAACGGAAGCATACCTTGAATTTTTTTATAGGATGGAGTATTCGTAAGCTAAAGTGTCGTTTTTCTGCAGCGTGTTTTTTGTTCAAAGCTCAAATATTTTACGTATATATATAAATTAAGTTGTCGAAGATGATTTGATTCGATGAGCCAAAGTAATATTACTAAACTAAGCATGCGCTACTTTGATAGATGATTTTCCGTCGTTTTTTAGCTAACACAGGAAGACTATTACTGCGGAACTTCCGTAATGTCTGAGCGAAAAAATTGTGGCGAGTGATTTTTTCAATTTTCGATCGAAGCTAGATGAACGTTATCGGGGGAGTTCTGCAAAGACCGAAATAGATGATGATAATTTGATGGTACAAGATCCGAACTATACGATGGATGCGTTGAAATTTCATATTCAAGTTCACTTAATTTCCGCCGGATAGCTAAAGAAGTATATGGTCTGGCATAGTCAAAGGACGATACCATTCCGATTCGCTAGTTCCGTTCGATGGCTCATTGTAGTTTTGCTAGTGGTCAACGGTAGAAGAAGGAGCTAATGAGTCGTTTTGCAGCCTAACAACCATAATGCGCGATATCTTTTCGATTCCTTTGGCGCCAGTCTGGGCCTTGCCGTTGATTCTAGAACACATTAGTTTGCAACACATTATTGCCGTGAATGGGTATCTTTCATCGCCCGTAATCAGCTGTTTTAAGACGAGCTCGATTTTCTTGCGTTTTTACAGAATGCCCCTGATGGAAATACGATCGAGCAAGCTACCTTGCATCTAAACGTCGAGCCTTTCTTTAGTTCCAGCTCTTACTCAAATTGCTTAGAACTGTTCGACGGTAGGTGTCTGTTCCTTGGGGATACAATAGTAATTAGTTGATTACTACGAAAAGGATTGTTTACAGCCCCACATACTCGCAGAAAGGAAACAAAGGAACCATATTTGACTATAAACAGCATAGATTTTTCCATTGGCCTAGGCAGCATTTGGCCTTTATCGGCATACAATTGTGAATTATCGAAAATTTTTTGCACAAATTTCATTTACCCTCAAGGCGCTCTATCTTTAATTTGAATAAAGCACTCAAACTCTATATCGAATCTTAGCTTTCAATGACAGTAACGCCGATTCCACACGACGCGTATCATATGAGATATGTAATTTTAGGGTAATAAATATATATATATATGTAAGGACAACTACATGATGTTATTGTAAGGCCTGTCTTGTCCACAAACTCGGCCAGTCAACGCCGCTTAATTGGATCTGCCATCTATTTTTTTCTACTGGATTGACATAATGGCATCCATTTGACTGATTAAATTGTATGTGTTGTACAAAATCAACGCGAGCTTATCTATCTATCCAATACAACCAAATCGAGAATTCTGCTTGAAGATCGTTCGGACAAAAACTGGCGTTTGCAAAAAAAAAACCTGCCTATGGATAAAAACCTTCTGTTGCATTGAAGATGCTAAAAAACATGAATTGTCGTAAAAAAAACTAGACTAGAACGCGTGAGCAGCGTTTTTTTTTAGAACTGCGTGGTACCACAGATCGGAATAAGGGCGGGTCGTCTCATGCAACATGAAAATCTCAGCTATAGAAATTACTTTATTTGCAATAATGTTTCTAGAATTAAAAATGATTAATAAAGACAAAATAAGAAGTTTAATTTAGCGAGTTTTCCGTCCAGAAGAGCTCTATTTTGTGACACTTGTCAATATATATGGATTTATATATACGCGCTCCAAATTAGTAGCTATGAAGTTCAACAGAGAAGAAGGCCTCGCGAGGATGATTCGTGTAGCCTAAATGTAGAGAGTTTAAAAAGAGCTAATTGCTCGACACACCTCGGTTCAACTATAATAACGACAGGCAGTCCTTTCGACACGTCGAAGACGTCGAGTCAGGAAAGCGCTTATTGCGGCAACCACGATTAAACAGCCGCGGAAAAAATCAGCGCCACTGCTCTCAAAGTGTTTGCTCCGAACGTTGCCCCTAGAGCGCCTAGGTAATTTAAAAAAAAATCATAATCTGGCATCTGACGATGGACTTCCGGTGGTTTTTCCTGGAGGTGTTTAGACTCTACGTGACGACACGCAATCGACCAGACGATTTCGAGTCGTCGCGATTCTCCTGGCCGACACGTCATTCTCTATGAAAGAAGCCCTCCAAACGTTTCGCCTCCTAGAAATATCGTTAGCTTATCGGTGATTCATCAAAAGCCAGAGAGTTAACAGACACTGGAAGTGGATATATAGGCATAACATGACCAGGTTTGCAGTCTGTGGGTTTTATCATCCGGTGTGAGAGATGCAACGATACCATGAACAAGACGAAGACAGCGTTTGCGAGCTTCGCAAGGCTAGGAGTGGCAAATATCATGTAGATCAATGTAGCGAAGTCGAATAGCCCCTCAATGAAATCTCACAGCTATATGTTGTTAATGTCGGGTGGTAATTTACGTACGATTATTATCAATGTTTACATTAGAGTCTGCTGCAGAGTTTAATACGGAGGCGAATTTTGGAACGTCTATTCAAAAGCCATCCGAGAAAAAAAAAGACTTTTAACAAACAGGTACAACGAATTGTCCGTGACGCTAGAATTCGTGACGCTAGAATTGCGTGACGGACTTCAGATCTACAAATAATCTGGATGATTCATTTAGTATTATGGGTTCAAGTGGGACTGCAGCAATCAATTAACTCAAACTAACTCAAAAAACACTCGCAATGGCATAACATTCTAATCATCACTCAAACGCCCTTTAACGCTCCTGGCAATCGGTAACAGCTGCATCGACAATTAGGATTGGCTTGTTTTGAAGACCTGTTCTGGAGTGAGGTCGCTTCGATGCTTTATTACAAATATACTAGGAATCAACTTCGCCACCAAATAACGACAGCTTCTCTAAATGTGTGAACGAGAGGATATTTTTTGCTCTTCGAAAGGTATTCATCTCTATGCTCGAAAGCGGTCGCTGGCGAATTGTATCCTATTTTGGCTCAAGGAGAATGCTGCTTGGATTTAATGCGGCATAGGGAATTTAGAAAGTCTATTCAACTTCAATCCACAGACTTCATTGAGATGGACACATTTTCAGCCCATGAAGGAATAAAAACTAAATGTCCTCTCATGACTCTTTAATTAGATAATGTAGCGAATACTCTGAAAAACAAAAGCTTTTCCAGCGCCCATTTTCACAGGCTTCGCTCTTGATAGAACTCGAAGGTTCAAATGGGGCCATAATAATATTACAAACAGCTGTCATCAAGTGAAGCCAATTTGACATAGTTAAGGAATTAAACTGAGAGGTGTTGGAGATGGACAGGGTGGAGATTGAAGAAACACCACGTTTTCAATGTAGCGATATAAGATTATTATTAATAAACAGAAATGAAGAATATGTATAGAAGGAGGGTTAGCTTTTACTTAAGTAACGTCTGCCAGTTGTTGTATCGGGTGCGTTCGCTGTGATAGCCTCCATGGTAACCGCCTCCATAAAATGATCTGGAGCCACCATTATATTGCAACGCTGCCTGTTCGCCTGTGAGGGCTGACGATTGGAAGATCACATCAGCAGGATCTTTGGATTCGGTGCCAAGCTCATTTGTGATGACCTTTGCGTGGAAACCATTCTCGTCAGCGTGATATTCAACCCTGCGCATATTGCCATCTGCCAGCCGAATCTCATAGTGGCCACGAACTGTTCGTCCATCTGAAGTCTGCATATGTCCATGAGTTCCTTCGGGATCTTGGGAGACGTAACCAAAACCATAGGGCTGAGGAGGTCCATAATAGTCTTCATGTGCATAACTACCTGGGTATAGACCGCCATAACCTTCCCCTCCGTATCCTCCGTTGAAATGGCCCGCGCACGAAAGCGCGACAACGGCAGATAAGACACCACAGACGGTAAAAGTTTTCTGAAATCCCGTTAGGTAACACACTCTGTCAAATGCAAACTGGAAAATAAATTAATCATATTTATTTATTCTTCTATAGGTCTATTTACATTTAACGTTCTCTAGAAGTCAATACTTATATTGGAATATATCAATTCTAAAAGGGAGTTTCAGCGAAGTAGGAAAACAGGAAATCTTCTAATCTAGAACGGAACGCATTTCCGTCGTCCATTACACCGACCGTAATTGTAATGCTGCAAAGATTTTTCGATAATCGAAACGTTCGGCGCTCAAACGGAATATTGTTTTGATAGATACTGTGATTTATAAGAGGGCGCGTTTGTCAATGCCCAGTCACACTGGCCGACACAGCCAGCTTCAAAACATATTACAAATGTAATTGAACTCAAAATAGAACATTAACATTTGTTTCCTTCAGCTATTACGCTACCAATAGAAGGAATGAAGTTCCCACCAAAACCTCTACAATTATCCATAATCCTCTGTTCTGCCAACGACAAGAGTTTTGTAAGCTTTGTTGAATTTGAGGAAGCACTTGGAAAAAATGAAAATGTTATCCGTACCATGACTTCTGCGTTCTTTTGCTTTGTTGCGCTATCCGTAAACTGCAATTAAGCGTGTAGCACGTGGACGCTTTTATACGTGGTACTAACGCCTGCTGATTGGGCGAGTGGTTGTACCGACCGCTGTAAATAATACCAGTATGGCTAGGCTGTTTTACCTTGAGCATCGACACTATCATTTTCGACAGAGGAAACAGAAAAGAAAGAAGAACGCCAAGATAGACGAGCAGGATACTGTCTGTACAATTAGCGCCGCTATTCAGTAGCCACAAAATATGACTTTCGTTTGAGCCGGTATATCGGTGTTGCGGGACCTTTTCTGTCCGTAGGCGGTAATCGCTTCATATAGGATCGTCACAACAGTAACGATACGAAAAGTACGTTAAGCGTAAGTATAACGAAGAAGATTCCGGCCTGATTGAGATCGGACTCAATGATATTGAATCAAATCAATATATATATACATATAAAGCGACAGGTCCGAAAAACGCTATGTGGGAACGTTTGCTTGCGAGTAAGGCAGACAGGTAGGTGGCTTATTCATCAAGTCAATATTACACGCGTTTTCATCGGGTTTAGCAAACGTATCTGAGTGCTTTTCTTTGAGCAGAGACAGAAAGTTCGCGTGTCTACTTCTACTCTAGTTAGGAATCGAGCAGCTCAATAGTAACGTTTCTATTTTATAAGCGCATAACTTGAGCTACGATCTACAATACGCACGCGAATCGTAGCCGTAGATCTACAGCCGCGTAAAGTATTATTGTTACTCGATGAAAATATAGTTTCATCATACGGTAATCGTAATGCTAGCGAACATCGTATAGAGTATGCTAAGGGTCGTTAAGTTTCTTTTCTGTTAGAGGAGGACGCCATTAGGATGAGAAGGTTTTCTGCTTTTTACTTTATTATATCGAGCAAGGAACGCTGTAGCGTATCAACTAACCAACTTCTGGATCTGGAAAATAATATATCATTAGTTCCGTGATTTCGCTGCACATAAGTACCCTCAAATCTGTATGAAAACTTGAATTCGAGGCATACCAACAGCAGAACAACGCCTGCCATATTCATTAATTACGACTGTGAGTTAATGTCCGGAGAAAAACATCGGGGGCATTCAGAAGGCCGGAGGACTTTAATGGAAGTACTGGCCAGCGGTGGAAATAGAAACGAATTCTCGGTGGTCAGTGTAATATTGTACCGAACCAAAAAAGACATAAGCAACTATATTGTTCTTTCCATAACCGCTATGGCGTGCAAACGATTCGAACTGCGAAACTTAAACGCCCAGTTCCGCCTTGAAAAAAGGCACCCGAGTAACTTTATTAACATGTCTATTCGGGCTATGCAAGGAAAATCTTTGTTGACATCTACCGAGCTCATTTAGAGTTCTATGTCTAGGAATCTTCCTAGTGGTTATTCCTTGTTTAAGAATGTTTGAAAGTCCTGCTGTTGGCTACGGACCTCCGAACGCGCTTTACTCCAGGTACAGGGTTCGGCCTCCCTTATATTTATTAATTCAACTGTTCAGATTGTGCCTTTTTCGAAAGCTGTTATGACTGATAATCCCTACGTTCGTTCGCTAAACCTCTGATCCATGTAGAATTTTTCATGTCCTTAATCCTTTAGAACGAGAAACCAATCTCACCTAGTTCTAATATCAATTATTAGTTGTTTAGAAACCTTAGTGAAAGATGAATTAGATTAACAACGCGATGAACATTTACCACTTGTTCTGCTTGCTGATAGAGACCATACAGGGTGACTTCTTTACCAGATGTTAGTTGATGATTTAAAGATGGCATCGGCAATGATGTTCGACTTCTTGCCGACTTCGTTAATAATGACCGAAAAACTTCTCTCATAGGCGCAGATCCTGCAAGAGCTAGAGCATCGGCCAGGCAAATCACGCAGTGGCCTCGGATGGTTCGCCGATCAGAGGTCTACATGTGTCTGTGAGTGTATTCTGCGAAGTGTGACCAAAACTGTAAGGTTCTGCGGCCCATATTGTGCGTCAAGGTTACCTCTATGGGCTGCTCCAGATCGACCAATCGGCTAACATGCTAATGTACCACAATGGCACACGAAGCGACAAAAACAGTAGAGGTGCTCTGAAGCGAAAGGTCGAAGGAGCATAATATTTTCGTTCTATGTATGGATGATATAACAAACTCTGACAGCGTAATTTATTATAACTCGAATTAATCTAGAGGACCGAAGAATATCACTCATCGTAACGTTAGCTTGTGCTTAGTACAGGTAGATAAGTTAAAGCTACCGTGCACTCCGTACCATTATGTCGTCTTGATCGGCATCCAAGACCAATGATCAATCATGAAGCTGATGACATTTTTAGACCGTGAAGGTATTGATGCAATAGCGGAATGGCTACTGGCCACTGAGTACTTCACCTTGAACAATTTCTGGAAGGTGGATGCAACAAAGAAAATGAAAAACTAGATTAAAACATATTTATTTATTTAGTTGACGTTATAGACATCGGAGTTATAGCATTTAGTCGGTTATCTCTGTTTTTTTTTGTTTATATTCCTTATTTACTTATGTTTAATGATGGTGGCGTTACGTATCATTAGTATATGGTACGAGACAGAGTTTTGAATGATGGCAGTTAGATACTGTCTAAGGAATCGTAACCACTTGAGTTTTCCGTCTTCAACTGTTCAACTGTCTTCAACACTTTTCTGCTTAATATAAAATTGTTTTACATTTCCGCCGATTTCTATACGTATTTAGTCAAGCGACGAGCTAATTATGAGAAAATGGACAATTTGGTGCTGCGTTTGTCCTATGTTGTATTTATCGCTGGCCTGGTTATTGATATAAAACTTGGAGCACAGAGGTTATTAAGCTCATACTCGTTTAACTAAAGGAGCTTCGAAGTCTTTTTCTACTTATCCAAGTTAATCGAACGTTTGCTTAACTATCGAGCAAGAAGCACTATATATTTATCGATATCCGATACTCCTTCTCACAGATGGAACTGAAGTCCTATTTACTAACGGTAGATTTTTTTTACCCTTATAATTATGGCTATTTTAACGTCACCCTGTCGGTTAGGATCACTACGAAAAACATACATTCTAGTGGCTATGAAATGGCTCCAGGTTTCCCTTTTTAATTTAACCTCTTCATAGTCTTTTGCTTAGATTACCGATTGTAGTCTTTTTTTTTTGCATTTTGATATTCGGTACGTCTACATACAACCAAACGTTTGTATATTATACTCTTGAGTGTTTTTTTTTGTTTTGTAAAATATTCCGACAGGTTCATACATCTCAATTCTCTAAACAGAGATACCCGACGAGACTATATTTATTTGATATTTGCAGCAGAACCGATTAATATTTCTAATACTATTGCTATTTTGTCTTTTGCTACCTTGTATTTTTTTTTTTATTTGTATAGCATATTTGTAGAATATCTATATTCCGGATAACTTTATTTTATCTGGCTAAAGACTTATACGCCGTATATGAACGCGCAGAAGGCACGCTAAGTACACTGTACACGTATAACGTGAAGAATATGCTTGCAGTTGGTTCTCTGCTGATAGGTAGGAATGATTCGGGAGTTGATCTAGTTTGAAATTTATGTTTTTTAGAAATCAACAGCCGCCGTCTTTCTAAAAGTACATTAGTCCCATAGTTACCACAGTTAACCGTGACAAGATATATTTTATGATGCGAATTCTCATTACAGAGTATAGCAATGCTAGGCTAACATTAAATCTAACAGGTCCGATGGCAAAGTTCTTTCTAAAGGAGACTGTAAGCTATTAAAAAAGAGAGCATTGTTTTGCTATTTACATATAATCAATATACAGTCAATCTCAATGTACTACCTTATCTTATTATAGGGATTAATGTTGATTTGGAAAAAATTTTTTTCGTAGCTTAAAACATTTATAGCTCAATAGTATGTAGTGGTCCTTATTTTATTATTGTTTCACTTACAGGCTTTTTGAAATAAAAACGTATGTATATATACGTTTTTTATACAGAACCGAAGTTGCAAAAAACTATGAGTAGAGAATAAATTTATGGAGTATCAACTAATAAGTTAACTCTCATAACCTGCATTTTAGTTAGAAACTGACGTTTGTGTAAAAATAGGGATCTATACATATTATGTGATTTACATATTATTATTATTATTACACGAACATTATAATTTAATAAATCATAATAATGTCTTGTATGGACGTCTAATTATTTAAGAACGATTCCTACACTACACCTTAATTTTGCTTAGTACTTTGAAGATTTGTGAAAATTCGAGTTTTTTAAATAAATTCGTTTTGTTTCACAGCAAATGAGAAGAACCTTTTAGCTTTTTGCCACTCTGCTATTGCAGTAGTGTATGCTAACGGGGTTGACATTTTGTGATGAGGGTCCATATCGGGGCTTCCGCCGATTCAGTTTGGCCTCCGCCTGTTCGCATTGAAACAGTAAAATGGGTTCCTTGAATTTAGTGCTTGTAGCCAAACAGAACAGAGTACAGCAGTTAAGGTAGCATGAAGGGACACCTGAGGCTCACGAGGTAGGATGCGGACCACATTATCGAAGCCTTCTAATGTAGCAGGCTACTACTGCCCGTTAAGTTAAACACGGAAAAGGCATTTGGTGCAGTTTTGTAAGCCAAATCGACGGACGATAGTCGCGCCTGTGTTTGAATTAACACGTTACTCTTTATGGAGTCGGCGTACAGCATTTATTGCCATTCAAGATTTAGCAGCCTTAACAAACGAGACAGGGCTCAAGTAAACGAAGTGCCAAGTTTTTGCAAGCAGGCTCCCCTTCCAGAGAGTGAAACAGATTACAGTTAAACAGATCAAATCACTTCTAAAGAGCTTAAAGACTATAACCGAAACGTTAAATGCACTAGGAGGAAACCTGATGGAGGAAAGTCCTTATCCGGTGCTAATCCTATGCATGAAATGAAGCCATATGATTATGTCTACACTACACCGCCTACGTGTGCATCTTTACAAACCACACTATCAGTTATGGATATTTAAGATGTGCTTAGAGAATATGATCCTGCACTGAGCCGCGATATTTCCAAGGCCTAAAACAACCTCACGATGGAAAAGCTGGCAGACATTCTCAATGTGTTGACGCTCGACACAGCGCGTAACCAGGCTTCACGCTACAAGCCGAGACGGGCTGTGCTTTGCTTAGCACGCATAAGAGAACCCTATAACCATCCGGCCCTCCTCTCATTTCGTATGACAGAGAAAAATGCCCCGTGGTCGATACTTTGACTTTCTTCTACCCCCTCCTTTATGGTGTGTCAGTCGCTGTACTGCGGTAGCAGACCGGCTTCGCTGTCGTGAGTGCGATGCTTATAAGACGGAGGCATATTTTTCAGCCAAAAAGGGTGTATGAAGTCGTTGACTATGTTGTACACGCTCGCACCTCACAACTGTGATATGATGGTGTGAATAATGTTGTATATACAATACAATGCCGTAAAACAATGATCGACTAAAGATATCAACTAATTAAGAAGGATGAGTAATAATAATGATAAATCAATTGGTATATGTTTCCGTCTTTGTTAAAATAGCCAAAGTTTCAATGTAGTTAAACTGAAAAAACTTTTTACAACAACAAACGAAAACATACATAAAACGTTATTAAGCATCGCGATCTTATTAGCACATGTGGTGTTATTTAACATTATGTTGAATTTATTTAGGGAGTAGAAAATTAATCAATATTCTCGATGTATGTACTAATACGAATGAGTTTTGCTTGCACCTAACGTATCCTTTTTATTGAAAAGTTACTACACCAATATCGCAACACCGAAACCATTTCTCAGCGTTCTAATCATATTGAAATAAATACAAACGTTCGCGGGGCATAAACTTTCATATTTTCCAAAATATCACAATCACATCTCTTCGCAATTTACCCTTTAATTCGCCCCTAGAAAAAAAAATGGTGTCTCCTGCATTATTTGTTGAAACCACAAAAACTCTTCTTGATCCTGATGAAATAGAGGACAGACATTAGCTCGCCATATCAGTCTGTTTCATTGACCGTATGTATATATCTATTTATTTGTCAGGAGTACATCTTTGTTTAATGCTTGCGATGGATGTCTGATGACTGACAATTGGCGATCCGACAGAAATTTATACGACGCTTCAGATTTTTGATATTGATTATGTTGTTGATGACTGATATTTTAACAAGTACAGATATTTCTGGTCAAGAGGTTCTGATGCTTATTCGTCTTTTATGTAATAAAGCGATTGTATCAACTTTGTCTCTTGACTGATATAAATCTATCTCCAACCATTTATAGCCTTGGTTTACCTAATAAAGGTAGTACATAATTTGACTGCTCAATTTAGCCTTAAGCGACAATATTATTTCCATATACAAAAATAACCAAGAGTATTGATTTTTGTTAGCCTCTCGCGTGGCCACGCACCGATGGCACTTCGTGCCATGTATCTATATTTATTTTTGGCTCTCATGTGTATGTATAAGGCGTACATTGACTAAATAAACATCCATAAAGGTATCGTCCTGAATTCGACAAATTATTTTATAATCGATAAGAGTATTGAACTGACGCGTATGTAAACATGATCACTTTTACATAAAGTTAATTAAGTTTTACTCATTACTAGTAGTCTACTTCAGCAATGGCTGTTGTTAACCGATCGAAGTTATGAATATCTGTAATCGTTGTTAATTCTAGCATACAAACATGAAGACACACAAGTAGAAAGATACGTAAAGCACAGTTTATTTTAAGAAAGAAACTATAATAAATAGCAGCTTAGGTAAAACCTATATACAGATAGTCATTCTTGGTTATCTTGCAGTTGTCTGCTATAAGTGCCTTGCCGTCGAGTTGATCTACCACTTAGTCTGACCCGAATAAGGTCGTCCTCCATGGTGTCCACTTCCAAACGAGGCTCTAGGTCCCGCTCCGTACTGCAATGCGGCCTGTTCACCAGTGAGAGCCGACGACTGGTAGATGGCATCGGCAGCATCCTTCGATTCTGTTCCGAGTTCGTTGGTTACCACCTTCGCATGGAATCCGGTTTCGTCGGCGTGATACTCAACCTTACGACTCCGTCCGTCGGCCAACTGTATCACATAATGGCCCTGCACTCTCCTACCGTCCGAGCTCTGGCTGTGGCCATGGGTTCCTTCAGCATCCTGTGAAGTGTATCCAAACTGGTATGGTTGAGGCGGGCCATAATTTTCATAGCCTTCCTGGCCACCTCCTCCGCCACGGAAGTGTCCTGCGGTGCACAGTACTACCATTGATACAGCGAAAACAAGCGTCACAAAAATACTCTGAAATAGATCAAAGAATCTGTGTTATGCCTAGCGGAAATTTTTCACAAGTGGACCCGATAAAAACATATCCATACAAAGGCTTGGTAACTTCGAAACATAACAAAAGAACTTGTAGAGGACTCAACTTTATTATCCCCAAGGCATTACTACCTTTCGTGTGTTACTTTGGCATTGTTTTTACTACATCCTCAAAATGTTTTTACTTAGAATGTCTCTGTCTACTCCTCCATCCAATCCACTCGTCAAACATGTTTCGCTAATTTTATACATGTGAACGCAAAGAACTTGCTAGTGATGTCCAAAACACTTCTTCTAATGCACTTCGAACTAGAAACTCTGCGAGTTCTCACTTCTGATACCATAGAGCTACAGTTTACGGTAAAGCTTTCTTGTTCTCGCGCTCGCTGTTTCAGCCTCCCGTAATAGCTCACCATAGCGACTAATTAAAGGCTGACTCAGCGTCTTTTTAGACTTAGAGTTTGTGCTTCTTCAATGGCAACAGAATTTTCCTATGTGCGATGTTCTGTCTGCGGCTACTATGACAGGCTGATGTCACTTCTGACCGCTGCTTGCCACCACCGTCAACTTTTATACCTCTCCCTTTGGCAGACCTTTCTTCAGAGCGGGCGCTGTTGCATTTTCATTTGTGCTTGACCTTGTAGCTTACCCGCGCGACGCCTTAAATCCATTTCGTTATGGGGGATACTACCTTTACCTATATTTGTCGGAGGTGTTGTTAATAGTCGAGTATTTTAACTGCAATTTATTGATGTGAACGACAAACCACTTTGCATTACACTTATCCAACGAATCAGATGTACGCATTATGAAATAGTAATCCGCTTGTCGTATGAGAATATTACAATGCTACCGAGCGAGTCACACTGGCGGGCAAGTACAAACAGATGAATTTATGGGCAAAAGATCAAATAATGGATACCTACTAATTTGGACTCGGTTAGAGCCTTCGTTGATATATTGTCAGTCTCTGATTGTCGACCCAATCCTTCACGACTTGGCTATAGCTACAAAACCCTTGGCCGAAAATATCTGATGAAGTGACCGAACCACGAATTCTGAAGCCCAATCAGCAGCAGCTGCCTATACAGCCAATTAAATGCTGCTTAAATGTACAGGACAGGAGACGACACTAGCAGTGCAGAAGTTTAATCACAGGTGGCCTACCGATAAGACTATTATACAATTTCTTTTTAGGGGAGTGCCTCTATGCACAACATCGGCCCAAGTAAGACAAGCGTAGTTTTTCCTGATGATATCAACTACTTCGGAAGAATTGTTTTCAGATGAAGCCCCGATTACATTATTTATTACGGTAGTTTTAATGATTCTTCAATAGAGTTGTTAATCTGCTTCTGCAAGAGAAAGGAACGGATCTCTTGCAAGTCGGCCTTCTAATGGAACGGAGTATGTTGTAAATTTCTAAGCGTTTTGCAACCATGTCTCAAAAATCTTTGTTGTTACTTATTCACAATGATTTACTGAAAGCTGAAGTTAGTCAGGAACTTCACACAGCAGACGAGAACACGTATGTCGAAAATTCTTACTGATGAATCCGCCTTCAACAAAGTAAAGATTTTTAGTTCTCTGTTCGAAACCGCGTCAAAGATTGCATCAGAGGCATCTGTCAAGATACCAGTCGCTTCAAGCGCTAATTTATTCCGTCTGATACTTAGGTTTACTTCCTGATATCTGATCGCTTGGCTCTATACCTAGAACTAATAATAAATCATTGATTGAGTGTATAATGTCCTTACTGCCTCGCAACTCTACCTAGCTATTATGAAAATAGCTATGAAAATGTTTGTACGTCATTTACATTTTTATGAAGAGAAAATTTCCAAAGATGTTGTTTCAGCAAGCATGCGTCGCGAAGGCCACTTCTAGGCTCATCGCCTACTGATTAACTACCTTAATTCATTACTGGCTTCACCTGGCTATTCCATTATTGCGTTATGATTGCCAGTGTTAAAGAAGCTCCACTACTCTTTCGTTATACACCTGCATCGCTACTTCACTGCTGGGCTGGACAATCGGCCCTTCGACAGCCCCAGCTGCCGTTGCAGGCGCTGGGTCCCAGCAAGCGATCGAAATAATACGTACATAACTCACACTGGCAGTAGCAGAAAAAAGATGTGCTGTGAGAACGAAGCAGAATTTGGGTGCTTCATTCTGCTTCCCGCGTTCCCATTGCTATATCACTTCTGCCGCAACTTGTTCTAGGGAGGGTAGGCGGGAAAGATAGGAGATTTTGAAGAACGTTATCATTCATTTTCAGCGGCCGTCGAAGCTAAATGGCACCAACGACTCATTCCTATAGAAGCGCGAGCGAAACGAGAAGTGCGACTGCGCCGGTAGCGGCAAAAAGTGCAACCCATTCATACAGACTTCAAGCGTTGTCAAATGAAGTCGAATATCCGCCCAAGCCACAACGGAGACAGCTAGGTCTATGGCGTTGGCACTTTTACGACAACTGAAGGAACTTTCATTATGGTGCGCTACGATAATGAGCAGAAAAGGAGGAGCAGTGATCGCTTCTTTTTTTTTTTTCTTTATCACAATTACAACCGTTGTAGAGCATTATGATTTCAACTAATACCGGCAGCACCGTTCGGCCCATTGCTTCGATCCGTTGCTACGCATATGCTTTTGTACGACTAGATATATTTCATCCTCGAGGCGCGTATTAGATTTTCAAGTCTTCGGCGTCGCTGGCCGTCGCTCTGCCCTGTTTCGAGCCTATAATCCGAGAAGCCCCGTCAGCTAATATCGGGCTCATCGTTACCCTGTAGACACTTTCATTACGGGCAACGAAGTTTCCTTTTTTATGATTACGTTTTTATTTTATTTTTTTAATTTGTTTACCTTTTGTGTCAAATGTTCTCGGATTTTTGCTATTCTTTTGGTAATAACGTGTTAAAATTGGCCTCAGGTACAGCCAGGCCGCAATTTTTCTTAGGAGCAAGCGGGCCTTCACGATGATTAAAACTTGTGCTCTGTGGGTTATCATACGCTGCCGACATGTAAACCGGACGTTAGCCGCACTGTTATAATTTATGGCCATGCTGTTGTAAATTAAAATACTCCGGCAGGTGGCTTCATTACATTGAGTCATTACTACTTATATTTAGGAATTGGGTCTCGTCAACACGAACGATATCTGTAGTAGAGTAGATGCTATTTTAAGATATCTGGAAAACATATATGGAAACTTGCTGACCAAAATTACGTTGTATCGAAAATTAAACTTACGTTCTGTATGTAAGTTTTGGCTTAAGCGTCGCTTAGCAGTATTAAGCAGAGGATTCAAAAGGTGACAGGAAACGCTAGACATATAGCATACCAGTACGGTTCACTAGCAGGGACAATTAATTGACACTTACTCGGACAGACCGAAATCAGAGTTCACCTACCCAAACGTTTTAGTTTCTATGTAGTAAGTATTTCTACGTTCAAAAGTTTGCCTTTCATTTTCAGTTTCAAAGTCAGGGAGACAGATATAAGAGTAGCTTTGCCACTGGTGATTTTTGTTATTATTATTATTGATATTATTATTTGATTTGGAGTTATTGATTTGAAGCCGATATATGTTTATAACTGGGTTTAGAATATGTTCAACCTAGAGTTATATAAGCTAACTTAGCGGCCATATTGGCTATTTCAACCTTTCACATAAGTGCCGAGGGTTGAGCAACTCGTGTTAGGGAGATCTCACCAGATTTCCCTAACACGAGTTGTCAAGTGACGCACGTTTTTTCGATGAGGGTTTTGTTCGGAATAAATGTCAGTGGTCGTTTACTACCTGTAAACCTGAGATTTGTGCCATTTCCAAGACTCAACTGTCGGCTGTCCCGATACTTTCCTCTGAGAGTCTGCTCTAGTTGCTAAATTATTCGTCAGCTCATAAACTATGATCTAGAAAAGTTTTCTTCTATTCTTTTTTTTTAATCAAAATAACGACAATTACCTTTCAGTAATGATCAACTTGTAATGAGCTTAACTTTACTCTATCTTACAATATCATTTTCATCAACTAAGGACCCATTAAGGCTACGCTTTAAAAAGATGGCCTGCCTGACCAGCCTTGGTTCCTGGATCCCCAACCGAGTTTCTTATGACCAACCATATTTAATATCTGTTCTTACCCACTGGGTGACTAATTAATCAATGATAGTTAGGGTGTGGCCGCGAGGAGCAACGGAAACAGTATTTCATCAAAGATGATGAACGTTAGGCTCACAGTGTTGATTCCTCAACCGCAAAGAGTTTTTGTTAGGCTAACATTTTTCTAGGTAAGAGTAGGGCATGCAACGCCTCTTACCTGCAATGCTATTCTGCTTTCTGGCCCACCTGCTCTTAATAGTTGGGTTGTTACTGTAATTATATTGTGCTTGTTGTTGGATCGGCGAGTAATCACAGTTTCTCACAAGTATGTGCATTCCTGTAGAAGAACATACAGCATGAAACCTGTAGTATGCAGTCTCCGTCTGCGGCCTGAAACATCGCGTTCGATGGTATTCAACAATGACGACAGCTTATCCGTAGCGATACTGTGGCAGAGGCGGCGAACCAGAAATGAATTGAGGTTATGGTAACTTCTCACACCAGTTCTAGCTGAAGCTAGACAAAGCAACCCTTGCCTTTGCTGGAAGAGCAAAGATTCAAGTGTGAACTATGAGCATAAATCTATGAATCTAAGTTTTATGCTAACATAAGCAGTCAGCGGCTGATACGCCAATACCAATACACCTTCTATTCTTATCATATGTTTATCTCGGAATTTGCGTTTTGTTTTTCCGGACACGACTACACCTTTCTTCCGTAACGATTTTCTTCTTCGTGGTGGTTCAGATGAACGCGGTGGCCTTCAGCGAATCGAGCGTACGACGACGGTACCAACAGCATTACTATAGCATTTATTGAAGTTAGTCAGTCAATCACTATCGAGGCTGTTTTAGCTAACCTGCGTAAGCGTATCTAAGACAGCATTCTGTCTTTTAGAGACATGGATAGTGAACTGACAGGATTACATTTAAAGTACGATTTATAATTTTCTATTTTATGGTGGCACGAGCTGAATTCAGCTCGCGATATTCTTATTCGACACGCTAAATACACGACCGTGCTAAGATTACATTAGTTTTTTTGTGACGTTCTGATTCCCTTTTCCATTGTCCGAATATGTATATATATATATATCCAAAGGTTATACTGGGACTAAATATCATTACTATAGCTTCAAGACAAAATGGTGTATATTAAATTACAAACTGTGCCCAAAGACTGCAGATGCTTTTCACTAAGCCGCACTTATTTCTCTACTAGACCGCAAAATTACACCAGACACTGTTCATCAATGTATTGCCGTGACCTAAAAAAGAAACACTTACAATTATAACGGGTCGAAAAGAGAGAGAACCACATAGGCAGTGTGTTACAAAGAGCCCTTCGTTACAACGCAACACGTACAAAGCACATATTTGACACGTAACTTCGATACGATATTTAACGGTACGAGGAGGTGGTAGCGTGAACGAAGAGCATCTGAGAGCAAAAAACCCATCTGGACGAGATGTCCCTTCACGAATTAGAAGGCCGAACGGTTTCGATAGAAGTAATCGATAGAGTAATTTTATGTAGGACAGAGAATTTTCTACAAGCTGAAAGGGATTTGATGGCTATTAAGCCAGAAAGTTACTAATTACTAAATGCTTTCGCATTTAGCAATGATTTCGAGTAGGCCTCGACACTTTTTGTCAACTAATCGTTGCAACAGAGAGAGAGAGAGAGAGAGAGAGAGAGAGAGAGAGAGAGAGAGCTCGCATCGTTAACAGGACCGGTAAGACGAGATTTGCATAACTGGTAATAGTTTAATTGACAGCTCCCCCTTACGTCTATCAGTTTCTCTGTTGCTCTTTAGACTAT